TGATTAGGTTAGTGCAATAATAGATTGTTGTATTTTTATTTTATGGTTATAAATAAATATTTTTAATTTTACTTAGTGATGCGTGGATATCAATTGAGCATTTTAATGTAATTCATAAATTACTTGCAGAAATAAAAAAACATTAATTTTTTCAAAAAGTCGACATGCAAGATATGTCAAGTTTTTGTATCTGAATAGAGTTTTGAGCCCTAACAATATTCCATTATTTAATGCAACCTGATGGAATTCTTGGTATAAAATGGCTTTCTACGTAGAAGAGCATTTGCAATTTATTCGAGATTTCTATGTTCAAGAACACAAAGACAATACCCCCTCTGCAATTGAAAAAATTGTAGATATTCTTATCAATCAACAAGAATACAGACGTGTATAGATATATCTAACATTTATCAAAAATTATGGGCAACAATTTACACGAGATTTGGATTTTTTTCAAACCAAAAATTTGCCAGTATTCCTATTTATCAAAGGTCGGATTGAATAATTAGAATGTATGATTAATACAGGAAGATCTTTAACAATGCTGGTTCAACCAGTACTTGATGTATTTTCTAAACTCAATACTAATTTAGATTTATTTTTGCCTATTTTTCAATCTGCATTTCAAGCCACTTATAGAAAATTTTCAGATCATATTACAGATCATCCCACATGACCTTTGTTTAAAGAAACCCATATTTTTGATCCTCAATTTATATCATTTTCTACCATTAATCACAATATTACATCTTATTCTTGCATTAGAGAATTTGCAGATCCTTCAATCGATTTAGTTCAAGAGTAGATGGTTTATTGTAACCTTAATTTTTCTATAATCGAATTTAATACTTTAGATAAGTTTTGGACTAAAGTTTCTTACCAATTGCCTTTGTTAAGTGAAATTGCATTTGATTATATTTGGCTTCCTATATTATCTTGTAGTGTAGAATGAAGTTTTTCTATATATAACAAAATTTTAGATGATGATAGACAAAACCTTAGCAAAGAATCTCTTCGTGCTCTTACCATGATGTATTATAATCAATAATTGCAGGGGTTTTTTTTTTAAAAAAAAAAATTTATACCAGTATAAAATTTTTCAAAAATAAAAGTAGAAGCTAAAAATAATTTCGATTAGATCTCATTCTTTTTAATTCTCTTACAATTGTGGGCATTATAAGGTTTTAGAGTTTTTTATTAATTTGAATCGATGTTCGATTTAAAAATCTTGATCACGTTATATCCAACCTGCATTTCTGATTGGTAGATCAGAAGTATATCGATATATATTAGTCAAATCGATATCAATTGATATAAATCGATATTTTTAACTATATCGATAGATAATTTTATCAAATCAAATCGATAATTTTCCATGTCTCTGGCCATATATTGTATTAAGCCATATGACGCACCAACATAGTATACATTTTATGAATGCAATTATTCTTGACCTAATTTACTTCATATTTGATGATAGTGTTAATAGCTTTGTTTATACGCTTTTCAACCTCATATTGTCTAACATTATCTGGTTTATCAAAATTATGAATAGTATATCTCTTTTTTTCCGGAATCATTGCAAAAATCTTTTTATCTTCATAATAAATTTCATATTTTTTCAGATAATTAATCAAAAAAAAATTGTTTCTAAAAAATGAACTTTTGGTTTTAACAGTTTCATTTTCATTAATCTCTTTACATTTAATATCAGAAGGTATTTTGCACTCTTTGACCGGTTCCCCATCAAGGAAAAATAAACGTGCTTGAGTATCTTCTTCTGGAAGTTTTTCAACTTTAATTAGAAATGTTACACTTTGAAATTCTTGAACATTTCTTTCTTTATTTTTATTATTAAAACTCAAGACTCCTGCAATACTTGACATGCTAAAATAAAAATATATACAGTATATATAATTAAATAATATAATATATAATTGGTGAATACTTCAAAATATTTAAAATCATATTTACTTGTTTAAAAATTTCAATGTATCAATGTAATAAGTTAACTCTTGAAAAATTCACTGTTTAATTTGTTTCTGTATACATAGTCCGGAGTAGCAGAGGTTTTAATACTACATTACAGCATGTACTTGTGTGAGAGATACAAATCCAAAAAAGAAAATTAACCAATCAGAGAATATAAAATATGATTATCCGAATCAGCTCAACACGAGACATTTATTTCTATAGCATCTAACTTCAGTGTTCTACGTAACCCTAAATTTTTATTTCTTTTTGAGTTTGCATTACTCGTATTTCTCTATATCATGTGCTATCAAAATTTCATTTTAATATATCTATTATCGTAATAAATCTTATTATAAATGCCTAATTTGTACCCTAAAAGTTTCAGAATTAAAATCTAAGTTCAGGTTTAGTATAAAATTAAAAAAATACTTTAAACCCTAACCCTAATACTGGTGGCAGTATTTTATTAAGGTGGTGATGCTACAGTCTTTGCATATTCACGTGTTTTGGAATAACGGCACGTTAAAAGTTTTAATATTAAACTAGTATTAACCTGTCGTTTCAACTTATTAAGTAAAAATCGTAATATTTATATTGTAAGTGGGAATAGAACAATAATAGGGTTCGAAATCCACTTAGATTGGAATGAAAAATTATATTAAAAATCCTAACCTTAACCTTAACAATTCCGAATCAACTTAAATTCTATTCTCACCTACAACATTTATATTAATTTAATTGTATATCTGAATTATTGTAGTTTTAGAATTTACTTAGATTGAAATGGAACAACCTAAGTTAATCCAAAATCTAAAAGCAATTCAATGCAAAATTTGTCCTTATTTAAATGCTTCAAGTTAACAAATTTTTGCAGTACTCATTTTTATATAATTAAATTTAGTATTTAAAAAAGAACAATCTACAATCTGACAGATTGTTAAGGTGATTCTAAATTTGATACTATTGATAAAATGTTAAATTTGATATGTAGAAACTTGATCTTAAATTCATTATTAAGAGATAATTGCAACTGTTGTTGCTGGTTTGTAAGGCCTTGTTCTAAGGTATTATTAAGAGTATCTGTAGTTGCTGTTGCTAGTCAGTAGTCTTGTTAGCGGTAGTTTCCTGTAAGTTCATGTAGTTGTTGATATTGCTCAGATTGTCTTATAGTTTCTTTAATAATAATAGTTTGTTCTTGCTATAGAGAAATTAAGATGTTGAAGTAAAGTATTAAATTGGTGTTAGTTACTAGTTTGGTATTGCAAGGTAGTTTTATTACATTGTTATTTTTTTGTAAAGTTGTATTATCAGTTGCAGAGTTATTATTAGTATTTAGGTTTAGGTTTATTTTTTCTGTAGTTGAAATCAAGAGACTAAGCCTTACTATACAGAAACTTGTAAAAAATTGTAGTTGTTTTTATAATAAAAAAATAATATATACAAAACATTATAATAATGTTTTTTCAAGTAAAATATTTTAATAATATCTTTATTATAATAGACTTATAACTAATTATTGTAATATTATTATAATATTTTGTTTAAAAATAAGTTTTTAAAAATTTTGATTTTAAAAATAATATTATAATAATATAGTTTTTTCTTTTTATAATCATCTCTTTTATAATCACAACCTCTATAGAATCACACTAATTTATGCCCCAGACTTTTTAAATAATAAAATCTCTCTTTATAATATCAAAATATATATAATCGCTATTATACAATTTTATATAACCAAATATTAAGAATGTAAAGTATTTTTACCTCTTTACAATATCAAATTTAAATTGTACTAAGCCCAAAAACAAAATTATACTTAAAGTTCTGCAAATTTAAAATTCTAAAAGCTCATTACTTATAAGTAATATAATTATATATTTATACTGGTTTTCTTATTTGTGGGTAATTATATCATAAACTTCTTATTTCATAATTCACAATTATTTAATTCACTAACATATTTATTTTGCAAAAGATTAATTTACAAACAAAATTATTTTATAAACAGCTTATTTCACCAACAACTTACTTCACCAATATATCTAGTATTGCTTCATGTTTGATAACTAGACATCATAGCTATAATAACAATACAAAAACCTCATATTGTGATTAGGCTTTGCAGTTGCGATAATAGTACAAGGCCTTATGTGTAATTAGATTTTACTACTGCAGTAATAGTGCAAAGACTTTATATTTTAATTAGACAAGAACCTATGTTGTGATTAGGCAATAGCAATACAAAAACCTCATGTAATTATTAGGCTCTGTGGCTACAATAGTAATGAAGGACCTTATTTTGTAATTAGGCTTTGTGGCTATATTAGCAGTGCAAAAATCTCATACTATGATGAGGCTCTGCGACTACAATAGCAGTATAAGAATCTATAGATAAGTAATAATACTTATATCACTACATAACAAATTCTCATTATAGCTATATAATTTTTTCTTTACTATATTTCCTTATGCAAAAATTAGTTTTCTTAGTAATCATAAAATATAATTTAGATTAAAATATTTCTTTGAAGTTTAGATTTGTAATGATTATAAGATGTAGTTTGGATAAAAATATTTCTTTGGAGTTTAGATCTCCTAACCTATATGATATAGAATCCATATTAATAGTAAACAGAATCTCAATATGTTATTCACTAGTTGAAATAAAGTATATTATAGCTTTTTTAGTCTTTATATAGCACTAACTAATAGCTTGAATTAAGTTATTTTCAGGTTTATATCAAAACTAATAGAGCTATTAATAAAATTATAAGTACTATCATGTTTTCTGATCTTTTATCAATAGCTCTATCAATTTTGATATGAACCTTGAAATAACACGATTTGAGCTATTAATTAGTGCTATATTAGGACTAAAAAAATATATGTTATTTGCTTGATATGCTTTATTTCAGTTATTGCTTTCTTTTGTATAAAGCTAATCGAGCAATAATAATGTTAGTCTGTAAAATAAATTTGTCTGTAAATTAATTGTATGTAAAATAAAGCAATAGTTGGTGTAATAATATAGATTTTAGATGTATAGTTAATCAAAAAATGCTAATCCAGGTTGATTTCCTGAACTGTAAATCATATTTCAAGAATAAAATCAGTTTCTTTATAATATTTATTATAAACTTTAAAGAATGTTATCTTTATATTAAAAATAGAAGTGAAGTATAATACTATAAACTGTAACTATAATATAACTTATTATAATACGACATCTAGCCACTGATCTTGTATTTAATAGATTTCTAATAATAGTTCAGTGTGCTTTAGTTGGCTAATCAAATTACTTTAATTCTAGATACATATTGTAGCACAAATTATTTATAGCTATACCTCTCTATAGTCATGATATTTGCTATACCCAAATATATAATTATAAAGAAAAAAGACTGTATTATAATATTATTTTTAAATCAAATTTTTTAAAAAATTTACTTTTAAACAAAATATTATAACAATATTACAATAATTAGTTATAAGTCTATTATAAAAACTAAATATATAATAAAAATATTATTAAAATATTTTTATTTAAAAAAATATTATTATAATATTTTATATATATTATTTTTTGGGTGTGGCGACTTAGTGAAGTGGTCAAGTTGTCACCCCCCAAGTGGCAGGTCTAGAGTTCAATTCCTACTGGCGAC